CTGTTATTAAACAACTGAATTCCCATATTTTTTGGCAAAATTTCGCTACTATATTCATGAATACAATAGCGCGAATACAGTCGCACAACTGGACTCCCCTATTTTTTAGGCGAATTCCGCTACTGTATTCATGAATACAGTAGCGTGAATACAACCGCACAACTGGACTCCCCTATTTTTTTAGGCGAATTTCGCTACTGTATTCATGAATACAATAGCGCGAATACAGCGAATACAGTCGCGTAACAACTAAATAGTAGCTACAGGAAGTAAATTGTATATGGTAGCTAAAGGAAGTTAATAGTCACTATTGTGTGGTTTCTGAAAATTCCTCTTGCATATATACACCAGTATTATTGGGCCTTGGTCCCAGTATGGGTTTTTCCAGATTTGATTGGATAGCTCTATTCGCTTTAGCCCAGGGCCAACATTAGGCCTCCTGTGGTGTAGGCCCATACTGTTATGGTTTTCTTTGCTGTAATCTTATTTGTATTAGTAATTACAGTTTTAATTCTATGTTTGCAATTTTAACGTTAGACTATATATTAGTTTGATTTTCTGTGTTGAAAAAAGCAGTTTTTGGTCAAAATGAAGGGAAGTAAAAGGTAAAACTTACCCTTATTGTTATACTAAAGGAGCCCCTCAAATTATTGCGCATTGACCAATGTTTCCCTTAAACTATTTTTTTTAGCATTCTTAAGCTTTTAAAGCATAAAACAATCACTTTCATTTGTTTCCATTGAATTACCTTATGATGAGGCTATTATAAGAAAAACATATTCTTTTTGGTCAATGCTACTAAATTTTCCTCCTCGTAGACTTTGAAAGGTGGCTTGGTACGAACCCTTTTTTGTGCCATATTCAGCTACATAGAAACATTCTTCCCGGCTATAGTATGCTTTTGAGCAAATTCACAATTTACTTAGTGCTATTATATATATATATATACTCTAATTCAAATTATGCTTAACACGACAAATTTTAACACATCAAAGTATAACGTCGTATTAATTCGTTCAAATTGTAACAGATTAGATGTGTGGTACATGCATTAACTCTGAAATTGGGCCCCTATCTATTTCAATTTGCTGAAGCAATCATGCCATTGGGAAAGGGCAAAAAAAATATACGGAGAAGCAAAATACTCCTTCCGTTTTAATTTATAATGTATCTTTAAGATATGTAAAGAAAACTTTTAAATCTTTTGATCTTAAATTAAAGATGCGTATAATGTACTAAAATATCGTTAAATTTTGTGGTCTTAAATATGCTAATGTGAAATTTTGGAGTTAAAAAGTTATTAAATATAGTTTTTTTTGGAAAAGATTAAAAATAAAAGCAAGACACATAAATTGAAACGGATGAAGTAAAAGATTTTTGAACTTAGATGTTTCTTTACGAAAAGTGTGAATTATGAAGTTGACAAGAAGCAAAAAGGTAAGTTGTGATGGACATGGACATGCAATTATTCCAAACTCATAGCTTGTTTGTCCAAACTTCTTCGAGACCAAAAATATTTTTTTCAAAATAAATGTTTTTTTTTTTTTTTTAAAGATGAAGCGTTTGGCCAAATTTTTAAAAGAAAAAAAAAATACTTTTGAGTAGAAGCAAAAGCAGTTTTGGAGACGGAGAGAAAAGTAGTTTCTTTCCAGAAGCTTTTTTTTGAAAAACACTTTTGAGAAAAAAATACACGTAGAAACACTTTTTACAGCTTGGCCAAACACTAATTACTGCTTAGAAGTATTTTTCAAATTAATTAGCTAAACACAAATTGCTTCTTACCAAAAGTACTTTTGAGAAAACACTTTTGAGAAGAAAAAAATAATTTTCAAATAAATTGATTTTAGAAGCCACCAAGCATGCTATTAAATGCACCGGAGATGCTTGACTTGAATAATTAAAAACAGTTGGGTAATTGATCAACCTAGAATTAATATTTTTGGTTCTTTTCGAGTTCATGAACAAATATGGTGGACACATATGAAAAGCGCATTTCGAAAAGAAAGAGAGTTGAAAGGAGACACTTTCTAATAAACATTTCACTGGACAGAGTTTGATTTTTATATTTCCCAGTAAAGTATTCACATTTTGAAAGAAAATCAACTCAAAGAATCCTATCTCAAGATATTCACGTCCATATAATTTTTCCTTTAATAAATTACACGAGTAACAGAAAGAAAGGGGGAAAATGTAAATAAAAAACACTGATGTTATAAATGCACTTTTGAGAATGGACTAATAATAAATATTAAACACAGTGCGGACACGGCTTTCTTACCAAATTAATCAATTATTCATTGCACTAGCAGGTAGAAAAATAATCCTATAGTATTGTGACATTTGATCTGATATTATAGTGGATATGACACCAAATAACCAAGCATATTGTTTAAAATATATTTCGAGTTTATAATGTAGTTAAAGTTTAGTCAATTTTCTCAAACTTTAAGGACACAATGTCCTGAAATTTAAATCTCAAAGTTCAAACTTCAGAACATCATGTCCCAAAGTTCAAAAATTATGTTTAGAAATTCGAGTCTTATGTCCTGAATTTAAATTAGCAGTTCAGAAATTCAGGACACTAAGTCCCGAATTCCAAATTAGCAGCTCAAAAATTTTAAGACACTAAGAGCCCGTTTGGACATAAGAAAATTTTTATTTTTTTCGATTTTTTTTTTGACAGTTTTCCGAAATCAGTGTTTGGTCATAAATTTTTAAATTTTCACTTGAAGATAGATATTGAAATTTTTCAAAAATTTAAAAAACTCCAAAAAGTTATTTTTCAAAATTTTCACTCAGATCAGTCACAAAACTTCAAAAACAACCCAAAATTATATTCATGTCCAAACACAACTCTAATTTTCAAATACCATTTTCACTTGAAAAAATATTTCATTTTTTTTCGGAAATTTACAATTCTTATGTCCAAACGCCCACTAAGTCCTGAATTCCAAATTAACAGCTCAAAAATTTAGGACACTAAGTCCCGAATTCCAAATTAACAGCTCAAAAATTTTAAGACACTAAGTCCTGAATTCCAAATTAGCAGCTCAAAAATTCAGGATACAAAATTTCAGAATACGTAATCCTGAAGTTTGAGTAAATTGGATAATTTTTAGATAGATTATAAATTATAAATATATTTTAAATAACATACTTAAAAATGCTACTCACTTCTCTTTAACACCTTGTCCATAATTTATTCGGAGGAAAAAAAAAAGAAGCAAAGATGGTCAAACCCTGGAACTGCTCAAAGATTATTGTTTATGAATTAAATTGACAGGAAACAGGGAGGAAAAAAGAGCAGACTAGGATCAAGTATTTGGTATATTTTTCATCGAAGAACTCCCAAGAAAAAAAAATTAACTTTATTAACATAAACCGTTTGGAGGGAAAGAACCCTAAAATTGATAATTTGATCAACTACCTCAAAAGAAAAGGAAAAACATAATGTTTTTATTCCAAATTCTAGGTGGATATTACAACATTGAAAAATGGATTAGTCGACTTCTTTTACGTGTTAACAAAATCATACAATAAATAAATTTGTGATATTGAAGAATGGAATTGTTCCGGTTAGGTGTGATTCAATAGTAATAAAGAATGAAGTTGTTCAAAGGGGTATCTATCATTTTGACAATAAGCCATTTATTGTCAATGCTTGGAGTCCGGACATGGAATTCACTAGAGAGGAACTACGCATTGTCACTGTTCCAATCTGGACCAAATTGCCTGGTTTAGACTTCAAGTATTGGAGCCCTAAAGGACTTAGTAAGACAGGGAGTTTGGTGGGAAAACCATTAATGGTGGATCAAAATACAAAGAAGAAGATAGGACTTAATTTTGATCGTCTTTTGATCGAAGTGGAAATGGATAAAAACTTGCCTGATATAGTCCTATATAAGAATGAAAAGGGGATAGCTATAGAACAAAAAATACAATATGATTGGAAACCAACCTTATGTAAATTTTGTCATAGGTATGGTCATCCAGAGGAGGTATGCAGGAAGAAGAAAGTCCCAAAACCTGATTCACCAAAGGCACAAGAGGGGCAACCAGCAGCAGGGCAGAAGGAAGGGAATGGAAGTAATCCAAAAAAGGGGCAGTCAGAGGGTGCAGAAACATCTAAGGCAAATGGATTAGATCAGATAAATTCTAAGAAAGTTGGAAAAATAAATGTAGCACAACCAGGATGGATTATTCCTTTCAAAGTGAGCAGCCATCCAAGTAAACAAAATCAACAGATGACAAAGCAACATCCAGTAGCACAAAACTCATTTAAGACTTTGGGAAAAGAGGGCCACAACACAAAGAAGCAGCCGAGTGTATGCAATAATGAGGGAGGGCAAAGTTTTCCTCCTATTGCAAATGGTTAGTCTACTTGCTTGGAATGTAAGGGGTATTAATACCCCTAATAAGTAAAAGGAGGTTAAACTCCTTTGCAACAAACACAATATTGGAATAGTAGGACTTTTGGAAACCAAAGTGAATACTAGTAGGATTGAAAACATAACTAACAAAATGTTTGGAGGATGGAAGTACATCACTCACTTGGAGCAACATTTGAATGGGAGTATATGGATTACTTGGAGACAAGACTACTACCAGGTTGTAGCCATATCAAAAATAACTCAAGTTGTTACATGTAAGATAATATATTTGCCCAAGCAGAGTTCTTTCTATGTTACATTTGTTTATGCCTATAACCATAGATGTAAAAGGAGAGGACTATGGGAATATTTGGAGAGCCAAATGGTGGTTTGCAAAAGCCCGTGGATGGTTATAGGGGACTTTAACTTAGTCCTTCATATAGAGGATAGAATAGGGGAAATCCAATCTCAATGTCTGAGGTAGTAGATTTCAATACATGTGTAAAACATTATGGTTTAATTGAATTACCACAACATGGTAGTATGTATATTTGAAATGACAAACAAGGTGAACAAAGAGTATTTTTGAAAATAGATTGGATATTTGTGAATAGTGAGTAGATAGACAACATGCCACCTTACATAGCTACTTTCTTACCAGAGGGGATCAACGACCATTGTCCTGTGAAAATTTCATTGTTGGATTCTCTACCAAAAGCAAAGAAACCATTCCAGTTATGTAATGTATGGGTAAACCATCCACAATTTATAGAGAGGGTGGAAAGTATCTGGGCTACTCACATTGATGGTTGTAGGATGTTGCAAGTAGTAAGAAAGCTAAAACTACTAAAGAGGAGCTTGAAGGAACTAAATGGTCAGCACTTCAGGAATATAATATCAGAAGCTAATGGCAATAGAGAACCCCTAATGCAGATTCAACAAGCTCTTCAAGCTAATCCAATGGATCAACAGTTGCAACAGAAGGAGAAAATGAAATACCTAGAATTTAGAAGGACCTCATATCTGGTTGAGATGTTCTTGCAACAAAAAAGTAAGGCAACTTGGCTTAGACTTGGGGATTACAATACCAAATACTTCTTTACAGTGATCAAGCATAGGAAGTTACAACATGCCATCACACAACTACATGATAACCAGAATGTATTGCAGACAGATCCAATTGCCATTGCAAATATTTTTGTAAATTACTATGAAAATTTATGGGAAACAAGAGAAGTTTCAAGGTGCAAAGCAAATGAGAGGATTTTGAAAAATGGTCCTACACTCTCAGTAGCACACAAGATGGACCTATTAAAGAAGTATACAGAGAAGGATGTAAAGACTGCAATATTTGAGATAGACAGTAACAAATCCCAAGGCCCAGATGGTTATGGTAGTGGATTTTACAATGCAATATGGAATGTGATTGGTAAGGATGTATCTGAAGCAATCCTGGAATTTTTTTAATAATTGAAAGTTATTGATTCAAATCAATTCCACAATGATAGCTCTAATCTTTAAAATTAAGGTCCCTAAAAATGCAAGTCAGTACAGACCCATTTCTTGTTGCAATGTCATTTACAAGTGCATCTCGAAGATGATTTAAAGAAGATTGAAGAAAGCCATCAGCTACATAGTGGCAGAAAATCAAACAACACTTGTTGAAGGGAGGTCACTGGTACATAATTTACTTATATGCCATGATTTGCTTAGACACTATAATAGAAAAACCTCACCTAGGTGTTTGATGAAAATAAACTTAAGGAAAGCTTATGATATGGTAAGCTGGGACTTTGTGGAGGAAGCTTTGAAAGGTTTAACTTTCCTGAGAAATTTGTTCAACTGATAATGACATGTACATCTTCCCCTAAGTTTTCTGTTAAAGTCAATGGGGTAGGGTATGGGTATTTTTGTCACGACCCAAACCGATGGGCCGCGACGGGCATCCGGTACCTTACTCAACCGAATACCAAGCAACGTATCTTTATTATTACATCATCATATATACGTGACATACGGGGCTAATAGGCCAACATCATCATTTATAAACTCAAATGATAGGCCGACAAGGCCGTACAATCTTTCATGTATACGACATATGTCTACAAGCCTCTAAGAGTATATAATTGTCATAAAGGTCGGGACAGAGCCCCGCCATATCAAACCATACATATCTAAATTATACTGACCAAACAAGCAACTCCGGAGCAAATAGAGTGCACTAATATCTTCTGCTGAGCTGATTGCCTACTTGGAGGACTCTCGACCTGTCTATCGAGACCTACGGGCATGAAACGCAGCATCCCTAGGAAAAAAGGGACGTCAGTACAAATAATGTACCGAGTATGTAAGGAATGAAAATCAGTAAATAATAGACATGAGAGAAACATGGATTAAAAGACTCGACATGTACGTGTGCATAGCTCTGTGAGTCATTTCATTTTTATAATGTCATGCATATGCGTATAAATGTCATACCATGCATAGGTATATGCGTTCATAGTATCATCAAGCCTCTGAGGGCATCCCATCATATCATTTCAGCCACTGTGGGCAAATTATCAATGTATACCAGCTGATCAGGTGGTGGTGCGTATATAATGACGTAACCTTTTCCCATATCCCATATACATATAATATACGCGTATATAACACCATCTGGTCATGGGTCAATGTACATGTATAAATATATGAAATGCATAAGAAATACGTTAATAAGATTTTTATTGGAATGTCATAAAAATAATACGCTTGTCGGATAAATTTTATCAAATATGTATTTTTCTGAGACCCATGAATAGAAGATATAATAATAATTCACATAAGGAATCAAGAATATAGACACCCCTAATATTTCTATGAATAGAGTCATTTATGGAAGTTGTGCATTTGCTCATTTCGTTCGTGTCGTATAGATCATGCCAAAAGAAAGAAGGGATAGCCTTAACATACCTGAACCGATTCTCTTTTGCGTAACGGCAGATCGAAGTAGGAAAATATTCGTATGATATTCTTGAGAAAGATTTTACCGGGCTTTCTTTGAATTCGCATTTCACATTAGATCTTATAGCATTTCAAAGACTTTCACGTTGGACCTTGTAGCATCATCTCTTCAAAGAATTTTCACGTTGGACTTGTACTTTCAAAGAGCTTTTTTGAGACTTTCAGCCATAGTATCATTGTTGCAAACAAAAATATATTCACCAACAGTTTCATTTCTTGGCAAAGATTCAGCAGGTGGCAAAGTCTTAAACCTTTTATTAACACCATTCTGTTTTTCACGTTGGCAGTGACATTTTTCTTCAATGATGTAGGAAGATGCTTTCTTATCAAAGAGAGTGGGCTCCACTTATGATGACTAGCTACCAAACTCCCCTAACACATGCCACGTAGTCTTGTAATTTAAGACTCATCATCAAAGTCATATAGGGCTGCCACGTTTGGGTGTAAACTTATCCAAAATATTTTAATTAATTACCAAACCCTTAATTAACTTGGTAACTCCCCACTAGTCCAATAATTAACCAATTACCCACATAATTAAGAATTATTTTCACTTACTTAAAATACTACTCACTTCTCACATACCTTATTCATCCTACTATCATGGTCATGTAGTACCTTGTATGGTACTAGTCCATAAATACCGGATATTTTAGCTCGGGCCGTATTTTATCCCAAAATACTAAACTTCGACGAAACTCATTTTTTCCGATTTGCTTACCCTCTCACCTTCACGAATTTACTCATCACTTGTTTGAAATGGCATAATGCTTATAATCTCATTCCCGAGCTTACGTCGATTAACTTACGATGAAACTTTTATCAAAAAATACGGGATGTGACATTTTATTTTCGAGCTTTCATCAATTTATTTATGGCGTATTCTCACGTACAAAAATATAGGGTGTAACAATTTTGAAGAAAAGAGAGGGATCAAGCAAGGACACCCTATGTCACCTTTATTGTCTGTACTGGTCATGAAATACCTTTCTAGGATTCTAACACTAATAAACACTTTACCAGATTTCAAGTACTATCCTATGTGTAAAGGGCTCAAGCTAACTCATTTAATCTTTGCTGATGACCTAATGATTTTCTATAAGGGGGATGGTGCATCACTAGACAGAGTAATGGAGGCCCTCAGTCATTTTAGTAATGCCACTAGATTGAAGGCAAACAATGACAAATCCAGTATATTTCTAGCTGGTGTGGATGCGCCAACCAAGTGTATGATTCTTACCAAAACTGGGTTCACTGAAGGTACATTCCCAATTAGATATTTAGGATTATCATTGTCGTCGAAGAAATAGCGCAAGCTGGAGTGCCACCAACTTATTGACAAAATCACCAATAGAATAAATGTCAACTACTCTAAACATCTCTCATATGCTGGTAGATTGTAAGTGGTGAATGTTGTATTATTTTCTATTTTCAATTTCTGGGGGGGGGGGGCTGTTTTCATATTGTTTCAAAGCATACTTAAGGAAGTGGATCAAAAATGTCAGAATTATCTCTGGGAAAGCTTAACAGACAAAAGAAAAGTGGCTCTAGTTACATGGGACAAGGCGTGTATGCCAAAAGTATTTGGTGGACTTAACATCAAAAGTAGTAAATGCTGGAATGTGGCTGTTGTGGGCAAATTACTATGGCAACTTGCATCAAAGAAAGACTTGTTGTGGGTAAAATGGGTACATGATCTCTATATGAAAGCTCAGACAGACATTTGGACACATACCCCCTGGATTATAGTTGGTACTGGAAAAAGCTCAATGTAATCAAGTATGACATGAATATATGGTACTCTAATGACAAGTACTTATTGAATCCTACTGGGATATATTCTATAAACAGAAGTTGTATTGCCCTGCAAGGAAATTTAAGTAGACTATCGGTGGAAGATTTGATCTGGAGTAGAGTAATGCTCCCAAAACACAGAGTAATTGTGTGGTTGGTTGCTCAACACAGACTTCTTACAAATGATAGAATGGAAAGATTGAATAATCCAGTGGAGGATCCTACTTGTTGTCTATGTCATGGATTGATAAATGAATCACATCAGCATCTTTTTGCTAAATGTAAATTAGCTTAAGCAGGTACGAGATGCGGTGGCAACATGGACTGGAATTGCCGGGCAACAATATTGTATGGGTCAAAATCTATCTTTAGAATATTTAAACCGAGATAGGATTAGGGGAAGAGTTTCCAATTCGTCATTCGTGGAAATGGCCCGAGAAGCGGCGAAATTTGTGGTCGAAGAGTCAACAAAGGACGAAGCCGAAGAGTCAACAAAGGACGAAGCCGAAGAGTCAACAAGGATCGAAGCTGAGGTCAAGTACCTTTGACAGAGTTGTAACAACTAGTTTCAAGATAGGATATTAAATAAAATATTCTAGTAAATTTTCTCTGTACTTGTACTATAAGAGTTTCTTAGGAATATGTTCCCTATAAATAGAAAAAGACACAATGATAGGGGACATGTGATATTCATTTGTAAAGAACACACTTTGACTTAAAGAATAAGATCTTACTTGCTAAGATATAAATATCACCTTTTCACTAAGATTCTTGTCTATACTTTTCCACTAGATCCGAGAATAACTCAAATATTCAATGGATTGTCTATCATTCATCATTGTCAGAAAGAACATCCACTTATTCCATCTTTTCTTGGGTGACTCATTTATTCTATTTACTTAAATGACATTTATTGTTGTTCATTATCATTGAATGCTACATTATTATTTTTGATTTCTAAAATATTTATTGTATTCCACTGCCACTGTCCGACCAGATCTATGTAGTATTTGTTGCTTCTTTAAGAACTCCATCTAGGGATATTATTGTTAGCTATGATTAATCCTTATTCATATAAATTTAATTATTTGAACCAAGATCTATATTTTTTGGTCAAAAAATTTGGCGCTGTCTTTGGGGATTTCTTAGTTAAAATTTTAGTTTCCTCTAGATCTACCATTAATGCAGGTCACTAACGTAAAAAAATCCCAAGATCTCCTTTCTTTGTGTGTACAAAACCCTACATGGCAGGAAACCAAGAGGAAAGGACGAGAATAACATGTGGCTTCCTAACTAACCTGATGAATGTCATCAATAAAAGCTGTGAAACGGTAGGTGAGGACACGACGCCCAACGCATCCCTAGATGAGAGAGGTCACTGCCCCTACACTGCAGCATAACGAAACCCAGCGGTAAATGGGCCTCCATGTCTACAGAGGGAGGGACACCCCCAGCTGTGAAAAAAATCCTTGAGGCATGGCTAACTGACATGCTAGCAAGCGTCCTCAACAAACTCTCCCTAGGCGTGACTGCCGAAACCGCAAGGGCTTGCATGATACAATAAATAGACGAGCAGTGCAGCCAACCCTTCCCTCTAACAACAAGTATAACTCACAATGTCATTGATAGTACATGTGATAATGCCCTCGCTGCCATTCTATAAAAGATGG